AACACAATAATGTTACTTACAGCCCTGGCCTTGTAATGGATAAATCTGAATTACAGGACTTACTGCAGTCTGGTTGACCTTGTATTTCTCTTTCAAGTCCTGCATATGATGTTATATGGTCCAATGCTCCTATTCCATTAAAGAGAAAGGGGCGTCCTCCATATGACACAGTAATTGTAGCTTGTGATCTGCTCATGGGTGAGCAAAAGACACGTTCTCAGCCTGCTACAGTCACTTGATTTGTGTTTGGCAAGGGGCTTCAGGCAGCTCTGCATTCAGATTTGGAAGGAAAAGCAAATGGCAGCTCCTAAAACTTCCTGTCCTTTGGTCCCGAAATTAAAATACATATTTAAAATGTTTTCAGGCTAGCACGTGAAAGGTTGTGTTCTTTTTGGGCCTTCTGATCTGCACCACATTGTCCACTGGCCTCCCACGTGGCAACATGAGAAGGTCACTGCTGCCTGTCGGGGTGGAAGCAGGTGCTCATATCTGTGGCAAAGGTATGCTGAACAGTAGCACACTTAGAGTCTGGAGTGATGCAAATGGCCTGCCCAGACTTTAGTCTGGGAAAAGCAGTCCCTGCAGGCTGCCTAGGATCGGGTCTGGTCCTTAGAAGAAGCCTCGCTTTTGAGTTTTAATTGAATATGGTTTGCTGGCAGAAAATGTGCCAGTGTGTGCTAGTCCTTAGAACAGTGACTCTTGAAAAAGTTCCTAACAGCAAAGTTAAATCCCTAACCATAAGAAGCAGCCTTTATTTAGTGAGGGGATTTGATCTTGCTTGTTTGTTTATTTGTAAATCCTGCTGTCTGTTTTGACCTATGTTTCAGAGAAACAAAGATGATACTTCTTTTTTGTCCTACTGGTAAATGTGGTATTGCAGAGTATAATTTTCAAACCAAAGTAGTTCTCAGGAGGTACTGTTTTTGTTGGGGACGAATAAACACTTGGTACAATGAAACTTATTGGTTTTCTTTCAAAGGAGCCTGTCAATCCAGCACAACAGTTAAGAGACTGTGAGAACTAAAATGCACAATTCACCTTCTAGATGACCTTGAATCGTGGGAATGCTGACAATTATTATCCACAGGAATTGCTTTCCAGTGCTAAGTGGTAAGCTGCTAAGCTGCATGGAAGGTGGTCAGTGACTTACCGATTCTAGAAATGCTTCTGGTCATGGTAATCTTGGGAGCTGCCTTGCTCTGTAGGTTGCAGCGTTGGTGCATTCTGTTCTGTCATGCAAATAGGAAGGTCCTTCCTTCCTGAATGACTTTTCTTTTAATCACAAATTCGAGGTGTTCAAACTATGTACTTGCTTGGGGATTAATATCTTCAGAGCTGGCAAAGGAACCTTTTTGCAGGTGAAAGGGAAGATACTTGCTAAAGTTAATGCTTTTATTCTTTTAAGTTCTCTAGATTGTAGATTTCAAAGTAATGGGGAAGTTGGAATTTTTAAAATTAATATTGTCTCCTGGTTCTGATATCTCTGCCACTTGTTTTTGCACAGTTAAGTAGATGGTAATATTCCAGTAGCTACTTTTTTTTTCTATTCTGATTAGTTCTCTTGTGTAGAACATCTCCAGATATCTTACAACAAAGCAAGGCCATGAATAAAACCAAGGATCTGCAGAGCACTTTCCTGCCTTACAACTCCGTGGAAAAGGCTCTGTACTTTCACTGAGCTTGTATTGGACCTGAGCATCCTCTGCAACTCTAGAAAATACGACATCACACATAGAAGTTCATGTCTATTCTCAGGGAGGATCTTTGAGCAGAAACTTCTTCAGAAGTTTTTCTTGTGAAGGGAGGTTCTCTAACCTTTAAAGCTTTGGAAAACTTCCTGGTTTGGTTTGGTTTGTTTGCTTTTTTGTTTTTTTAGCTTAGTTATAAAAGGTCCATTATTGTACAGTGGCACGCCAGGGAAATGGAGCCTGGACTTCCCAGGTATTCTAATTGCTGGATAGCTTTGTGTGATGGGGATTGGCCCAGCATACCTTGTAAGATAGTGCTTTGGAATGGTTGAAATACCAGGCTGTTTCTGAGGAGTAAATCTAGCAAAGGTTAGGGTAAGCTCTGTGTAAGGGTAAGCATAACTTTTCCCTCTGTGTTCCAGTTGGAAGACACTGAAAGCTATTGGGTTACCCTGGATCTAAACATGGGTAGTGAGCTAGTTAATGCCAGTTTTGTTGTTGATGGCATGGATTGTTTATAGATTTAAAAAGATTTTTAATTTTATAGGGTAATATTGTGATTATCTGAAAGCATAAGGTGAGCCACAGTGCTTACAGGCATGAAATGCTGCTTCAGTTATTCAAGCTTCAACTCCATTTTTAGTCATAAATTCCAGTCTTGTGTTGCCAAGAAAAGTGAGAGGACAACATCCATCAGAAGCAATAGGTGAAGTGTTCTAATGGTAGTACCTTTGCAGATGAAAACCTTCCCCTTTCTTCCATAACCCATTTCTAACCATCAGGCTTTAGTATACCTGTGTCTGGCAGGTATATTGTAGGCACATGTACTTGCCATTTCTTAACTTCTGGTTTTGGTGAGCTAAGCAGATAATCTCTCTGAAGCAATTACTGTAAAGGCTCTAATTTTCAATCCTTTGATTACTGGAATAATTACTTCAATGTACCTCACTCTTCCAACACTTTTTTTGGAGAGTGATTGTCAGAACTGAATAAAATATTCCCATTGCTGTTGCTGCACCTCCTGTCCTTTATTCAGCCAAACCCCTCAACCACAGTGTCTTACCCAGCATCTGTGCCCATCTGCTTATCTTCATCACCCTTTGCATTTTTTTTAGCATCTGTTTTGTCGTAGGACAGGGTTCTGCACTCTGAAAGGCACGTTTGTCATGATGGCTGACTTCAACTACAATGAGACATGTTTTTGCCTGCTTCCAGGCAGACTGCCTTCAGGGAGGTTTCTTTATCTTTTTTGTTTTGTTCATCACAGCTCACACGAGCTGGGATCTTCTTAGGAGCTTGGATATTTTTGGTGACTTCTGATAACATATTAAGTAGTTCAGGCCTGGGAACGTATGCTTGTACAAACTGAATAAAATATACACCAGACTGCATCATTACTGATTTTTCAGTTATAGTAATATTACAGTACCTATTAGTTACCAGGTTTATTCTCTAATGTGTCTTGTTGTTTCAGAATCAGCTTAGTTCGCTAATTAGTATGTCATGCCACCTCTAATGTATTACTGAGCTTTTAGTAAATTGCATCAACACTATCATTAAAAAAAAAAAATTATTTCATTGTTTCTCACAGGTTGATGGCATAGAAGCAGGCCAGATGATTTGTTTTGCGGTGCTCTGGAAATATCAGTGAGGGGCTGGTGTTTTTCCAATCCTCTGGAGTTTTCCAGATTTTCAAAGCCTTGTTAAAAATTGATACTGATGGACGAGCTTGCTTTTCAGCTTTCATAGTACAGAATAGTCCCTCGAGAACAGGTTGCATAGCCAACAGCTGTGAAGGGGGAGACCTCTGCTCTGCACCTTCAGGGAGTTAAATTACTCATCCCTGCCCCCAAGTCAGGAAACAGAGTCAGAGACTGATGCAAAGGTAAGTGACTTTCATGAAATCTTAGTGCCAGTGAGCCTGAACACCCCAGTGTGACCAGAAGCAGCGAAGCAACCTCAGTAGTTCCCTTCTAAACAGAAGACCACAAAAAGATCCAAAAATGCAAAATATTATTCTTGGTGGGACTGGCCAAAGAGTGTGAAGCCCAGCCTTTAACAGTTGCTGGAAGGGAAAGGATGTCAAATTCATGTTCTGCCTCTTAGTGTTGCAGCTGCAGCTTGATCCTTCTCTGATCTCCAGACTGGGTTTGAAGCCTTGGTTCCTGCGTATTTGCTGTGCCTTCAACAGCGTGTTCACTGAGGTGGAAAGTGCTCAAGTGGTGGCCCTGTCACGTAGCACTCTCTGAGTTATGTAACCAAGTGTTTCATAGGGGTTTAAAACTACCAGTGCAGAGAAGAGAAAGCACTAAAATGAAATGCCTGTGGAGGACAACAATGAATTCGGTCATCTATTAAATTTTTCATCTCTTGAGTCTGTCAAGCGCAGTAGCATCTGAAGCAGTATAAGTCTGATGATTTCAGGTCTTAAAATGAGAAAGTAATGGATGAAGAGACCATTATGAAACAGATATACAAGAAACTGTATTCCTTTTTCACCTCCTCTTTTTTTTTTTCCATTTCCAAATGCAGCAGGAGGACTTTTCTTGGCAAAACTGATTGTGAATCTACCTCAGGTTTATCAACGTCCTTGCATATCAAGCTGAACATGAATCATTTGCCAAAAAGGAACTATTTTGTACCAGAGTGGATAATACAGCATGAATGAAAGACATTTGACAAAGTCTTATGTAATTCAGAAAGAAGCAAAGTTATTTTATTTAATATAGGATTAAAACTGTATAAATCAGATCACAAGAAAAGTCTCTTGTCTTAAGGTTCCTTCTCTCCCCTTCTACATTGTACTACTGCAGTGGTATGATCAAAATTAAAACTACTGTACATGGGCATAGCTCCTTTGCTGTCATGGGAGTTTAGCTGACTCATAGCAGCAGAAAGTAAAATCCTTGTGCTTTATAGTACATTTGCTACTTTTCAGTGATTTCCCCTTGTTTTTAGTGATTTTGATTGTTTTCTCAGTACACTATTGCACTATTCGATAGTCTAATATATACTAATGATAGAGTGATAACATTCTGCTACCTGCCTTCTCTTCCTTGACTTTTAATCCTGTTGTCCCCTTGTTGAAAGTTTTTATCAGCACTTGAGCAGGGAAGAAGAGAAATTATTTTTCACATTCTAAACCTGTTAGCATGAGGACGCAGAACAGGGAGGAAGAGAGTTTGCTTTGTGGTTAAAATTAGATTATATTTGCGGTAATTTCTGTTTACCTTCATCTAACAGAATGTCTGTATTTTTATTTGTAGCTATCTGTCAGTGGGATGCATGCTGCAGTTTGGGTTGATGCAGACTAGGTGGAGTAAATCTGAGCCTGTGGGGTGAGCAGCGCAAGGCTGAGGAAAGATGCATGAAAACAGACTGCAGATGGGTGAGATAAACAGGATCCCCGGGCTGCGACTGAGTAGGCAGGCCTCTTTAATGGCTCTTAGCAACGCCCCTGCTCTGACCCTCCTCATATGTGAGGGAAATCAAATCAATACACTGCTCTTCAAACCACGATGCTGCTGCAGCAGCAGGGCATTGTGGCAGCCTTCGTCTCTTAAATTCGTCAACGCTTCTCAGTCTGCTGATCTCTGGATATCCACCCTTGCATCTCTGCTGAGGAAGACTCTGACTGCATCTTTAATCGGATTGCTTGAGCTCCCATGTACCACCTTCTTCTTCTTAGCAAGTATTAGGTAGGCAATTTTAAACTGCTTTTGGATTTGCAGACAGCTTTGACATTGATCTGAGAACCCTGCTGTATGCTCTGTAAACATAGCAGAAGCCTCTCTTTAAACCTACTCTGTTTTAAATTTTGATTTTCTTCTGTTTTTTGTGGTTGGGCAGGGGCCACTGCTGTTTTTCCCTTCCTTTAGAAAAAAAAAAATGTTGTAGCTGATTTGTGCTTTTGGAAAAGGATATTCCCTTGCTGATCCCTCCCCTGTTCTGTGGAACAGCTATAACCGGTGCCATACAGTTACTTTCCACGTTCATGAACATCTGTTCAGCTGTCTAACATTGAGGGCAGGCTGCTCACTCTTTTATTCTTTAATTTTCCGGTGCATACTTCAAAGCTGTAGAGCAGGACTCTGCCCACTAAATAAGTTCTCTCTTGTTTGCAGAGATGGCTAACAGAGGACCAAGCTATGGCTTAAGTCGAGAAGTTCAGGAGAAGATTGAACAGAAATATGACCCGGAATTAGAGTCTAGGTTGGTGAACTGGATTATTGTCCAGTGTGGAGAACACATAGAGCACCCTCCTCCTGGAAGGCAACATTTTCAGACCTGGCTGATGGATGGAACGGTAAGTGTTTTGTCCAATTATACACTTTCGTATGTTTATATGCACAGTGTCCTTATGTTCTGTCTTCATCTAGCTAAATTCATCTGAGCTCATGGTTGGTGCAGAAATATATATCTTAGGATCTGATTTATTTCCTTTCAGCCAAGAGTCTTAATCTCAAAAGATAAATTATTCTACTAGTGCACTGGGATCAGTACAATATTTATGATTCTTATGAGTCATGCATGTTATATATGAGTATGACTCATTCCTTCAGCATCTTTTCTCATACAGTTAAATGTGATCCATTTTAAATTCAGATGTGTACTTTTCTCTTTAAGAAATAATCAGTTTGACAAAGAAAGGCGAAGAAACAGCAAATTTCAAGGATTGAATTGTGTCATAACTGTCTTCTTGGGAATAATTCTGTAGCTAAAACATTGCATTCCATTTGTTTATTGAACAACAGGCAGATTCTGCTGTTTGCAGTGGGCTGTAAGACTATGCTAATCACTGAATCTCTGCCAAAGTGACTTTAACAATATTTCAATTGACATTGCTTATTTTTTGGCTCGGGCGTGAGGTTTCTTCTCTGTCAGTTGTTATATAACCTCTACCAGTGATTGCTTTGTTGTTTCTATCAGATTAGGATTTATATGGTCAGGCTATTGCCTCAGTTAATGAAAGCTTTTATACTTTTCTAATATACTGTGATTATTATCAATTCACTTCTTTGTTTTTATCTGAAGAAATTATGTCCCTGACAAAAAGTTGACAGGTTGAAAACATTTTGCAGCATCATTTCATGTGCAGAAATTGCCTTCTAGTTTGGTGACTGTTTCCTAATTTTGTTTCTGTCTTTATCTCTCAGCTGTTATGCAAGTTAATAAACAGTTTACATCCAAAGGGAAATGAGCCCATCACAAAGATCTCTGAATCAAAAATGGCTTTCAAGCAGATGGAACAAATATCTCAGTTCTTAAAAGCTGCTGAAATCTACGGAGTAAGAACAACAGATATTTTTCAGACAGTGGATTTATGGGAAGGTAAAAATAATAAACTGGAAGTTAGTTTGCAGTCTTCATTTTACTTTGATGTGCATTTTGTCTAAGACATATTCTCTAACATAATTATCTTTTGTTTCTGTTTGCCTTACCTCATTACCATGTTCTTCCAGTGCTGCATTATCTCCTCTGAGGGATTTATATTACCCTGAGGGCATAACGGAACCTTTCCAAGCTCATGTGTTATCCAAAAGCCCATCCTGCTGATAGAAATCCACAGACCTGATGAAACAACTGTTCTCTATGTTAATCATTTCAAAGTAAATAGCTTCTAATAACAAATATGGAAATCCCTGATTTTCTGATGACAAGATTTTATCGCAGTTTTCAAATTATAAGCAAAGCTTTAATTGGAGCTATAAAATGCATTCCCAGGAGCATGTATGCCTCTGTGAAGCTTATGAGGCCTCATTTATAATTAGTGAGAAGCAAAACTCACTGCTTAACATCATGTTAGCTGAGCTTCTCTCTCTAAGGAGGGAGTCTTTTAAGAGAGGTCACTATGGCAACAGCAAAAAAATTCAGGGTGCTCCTGTGATTTTGCAGTAAGCCAGGTGAAGGCTGTCTCCATCCCATCTTCAAAACAGAAACTGCTTGTTCTAGTTGCTGAAGAGCTGAGTCATTTGCACGTTCGTGTTGCTGGCTTTGCCCACTTCTGTGGGCATCCCTTGGTGGTGCCTTAACCAAACACGCTGCATATCCTGCAGCTCTCTGGGCAAGGTGATGCAATGCTTTGGATGAGAGCTCAGAGCAAGGACAGCTGCAGGGTAGTGAAAGGCACATTTGAAAGGGTCAAAAATCTGCCTTGAGAATGAAACACTGGAAAGAGAAAAACAATCCACTGGGAAAGCTGGTCAGCATAGTCTGTGTAGGAGCACACATCGAGAGAAAAAAGTGGGGTTTGTTTTCACAGGCAGTCGGGATATGTGGAAGAGATCAGTCCTATGAAGGACAGCTGGAGGAATGAAATACTAGGGAGCTCTTTGTGAATGGGTTAGAGGGAAAGGATATATTGACAGCTGGAGTTACTGGAATATGTAATGGTCTCAGAGTGCCAAGTTTGCTTGACAAAACCATACATTTGGGGGCCAAGGGCAGGATTGTTTCTTCCAGTTCAGTCTTTACTGTTTCATCCAATCTATCTTTAAATGTCTGAAATGAAAGGATTTTCACTTCCCTAATGTAGCACCCTCCGACCCCTCAGCCTAGCAGGCTGTTGAGAGAGAAGTTCCATCTATCTTGTAAGGGATGGTAATGGCTTGTTTCAGATAATGTTCTTTGCAGTCTTTTGCAACTTACAATGGCTTCACACCATGCAAATGAAAATATAGTACTATATATCCTTACTAGGAAAAGGACTTGCTTGGAAGACAAAAAGTTCCTAATGATGGTGGCTGTCTCTTAATCTCTTCCTTTCACTCATCAGCTTTTCTCAATAGATGTAAGGAAAAAAGGTAGTAACTTCCAGAGTACAGGAAGTCAAAACACAACTTGCAACCTAGGAAGGAGAAATACAAGACTTTTCTTCACTGTTATTTTAAGACTTCCCAAAGCTAATCTGTCTCCTCACTTTCCCACTCCCTTTTCATCCTTCCTGCTGCTCATTTCAGTGCTGAGAGGAAGCAGTATGTCTCTCCAGCAGTGAGTCACTGCAAGCTTTTTGTGTCTGACTGTAACTCTGACCTGTAGCGTCTGTGCTGCTTCAGGGCTGAATGATCTGAACCTGGATGCATTAGCTGGACAGAAAGGACAGTCTCTTTTTTGCTATTTCATGATTGCAGCATTCCTCCTCTTCACACCATAACCTCTTTAGAAAGAGAGATGTCAATGTTTATAGTGAAAGAAAAGCGTGTGAGTGAAAAACAGCTTTTCCCTGGCACTAATTGTTTTCTGGGAGCTTTTGCTGTGAAATTCTTAGCAATGATTAATGAAAATGTTTTAGGATATGATTTGCTGTTGGCTGTTTCAAACTCACTGAGTCCATCTGGTGCATTTTTCTTCATCTCTGAGACTTCTTGGTCCAGGGGAAGTATAACCTCTCTTTTGGCCCTTTCTTACATAAATGTATTGTGCAGATACCTCCTTGGTATATTTCCAGGCAGGCAAGAGGCAGCTGCACCTCTGGGTATTTGTTCAACCTTTATAAAAAAGCATTTCAGGAATACTAGGCAGAGCAGTTCTCCATCTTTGTGTTTGAACCTTCTCCTTTCTGGACTCAGAGAAGAGGGCCTTCCAGGCAGGTTTCCACCAAAGAGAAAGGCATAAGATGTGAGCTGAGCACTGGCAGTGCCAAGTTCCTCTTTGAGGCTGTGCTATTCCAAGCACACTGCAGAGGACACTGAAGATGCAGGCGTGCCATCGGTGCGGGTCCCTGCAGCACGATCCAGGGAGCTGAAGCTGAGGGCCAGGTGGGCAGCCCGCTGCCAATAAACAAGTACTGGAGGTGAGGGAAGGAACTAACTACGATTTGCTGCAATGTCAGAGTCAAGTCTGCCTTCAGAGAATGTGTGTGATGCTTTCTGTCAAGTGGCTGCAGCATTAGGTGACTTTCTCACTGGAAATTTAAAATCTTTCAGTGTTTTTGTTTTTTTTAAGCTGACCATCGAGCCCCTTGTAACCTTTGCTAGAAGAGGTCAAGTGACACAAGACCATTTGGATTTTGAGCCTTTCCTCGCTCACAGCACCCCTCATATGCAGCAAGGAGTCTCTGCAGAGCAGAGCCGTGGTCGTAGCTTTGTTTTGTCACGTGTTGTTCAGCTCCCACTCACTCTTTTTCCCCCTGCAGCATCTCCAACTCGTCACTGACAAATAAAGCAGAGCTGAGCACGGAGCGTGGGGCGGGGGGTGCTGCCAGATGGCTCCGCGAGGCTGATCATCATGTTTCACTGCCTGTCTTTTGTTTCTTTTTCTTTTCTCTTCGCTTGCTGTCACTATTCAGCTGATTCACTTTTAAATCTTTCTCCACATCCCTTTTTCATCCCAGTCAGTCACTGCGCTCCTTGTTATTATGGGAGGCATCCCAAGGACGTTGTATGTGGCATCTGTTGCAGCATATGGTACATCTGCTGCTGCGGGGAGCTCTGAGTGTTTCTGCCTCGCTCCCCTCAGTGTGCGCCTGTGTACGTGCGCGTGGGGGATGTCGGCTCTTCAGCTGCCCTCCTTGCACAAGGACTCATCTGATGCAGTTTGCATCAACAAATACAGTAAAAGGAGGATTCTGGGTGACTGACAATTTATTTCCTGAGCAAATAGTCCCCTGCAGATAGGATTCTGAGAGGCTGTTGCAGTCTTCCACGATTGGAAGCTGATAGGTGTTTTCAGCCTTGAGGTGTCTTCCTCAGCTCAGCCAGAGTGTTAGGCATTTAGGTTTGTATTAACCAAAGCCTCGGCCTGGATCTGCCTGTAATCAATCAGGGTGATGCACAGCATAAACACAGTGAGTGCAGTGCTCACTTCCCTCTCCACTCCAACTGGGGTGCAGTGATATTCCTTGATACTGGGCCACTGGAAGTATTCCTGAGATCTATTATCATCATCTCTCTGGTATCTCATGTTTTTATGAATTACTTGCTCTCACACATGAAGAACCATAATCAGATCTGTTAACTAGATACATTACTTTAGGAAAGAGGGAGAACTAGAATGGAAAGAAGGGGAGAGGAGTCATAGAAACACTTAGGAAGGATTTCAGAAAAAAGGAGAAGCAGAAGGCGGATTTCCAACAACATACCACCTCACACAATTGGAAATACCTGCTGCAAACTCATTTTTGCTAGAAAGTTTTCCAAAAGTTAGCATATCTGGATTGAGTAATGAGTTACATAATTTTTATTTGGTTAAAGATGAGACGAGCTGTGGTTTTTTGAACTGGGGAGTGAAGTAAGATAGCACAGGGAGAAAGTGGAAAAATAGTGGACTGGATGGCAGAAACTGAAGGTATGAAACTACATAGAACTGAAGCCAGTAGGAAGGTGATTTGATGGTCAAATTGGAAAGAACTGATAGAAGTTATCTGCACAGGAGCTCACCAGGACTGCTGTGGGCTTTGTTAGCACAGGGATCAACTTTGAACAAACTGAGCACTGTTATTTGACACACTGTTCTCCTTCAGACATGTTTTACTGAGTATATTACCATTATTTGTATACCAAAGTAATCTCTTCTTAGGAGAAAATTTTACCAAAAGGATTATATAGACTTAAAATGGTACGGCAGAAGGCATTAAAATAACCAAAGTCCTAGAAACCTTGAAGTGTCTGAATAATTAAGTTTCACTTTAACACTATCCCTTTGTTGACATTTTAATAAGCTCTTGCATGCCAGCACCTCCACTTTAGCAATAGTAAAATAGCATTTATAATGCTAATAATGCACTTCTTCAGGGGAGCTGAGGGAGTTAGTTAATACATTGGAAAAAACTATTTATCGGTGTGCCAAGCTATTTGCTGTGCAAGGACATATATTAACTTCACTGTCTGGCTTTCTAGGGAAGGACATGGCAGCAGTGCAGAGAACCTTAATGGCTCTAGGCAGTTTGGCAGTCACCAAGGATGACGGCTGCTACAAAGGAGATCCATCCTGGTTTCACAGGTAAAGTCCAGAGCTGCTCAGAGCTGTCTTCCCTGGGAAACTGGTAATATTGTCTGCCTTTAGAATGAAAGGAAATTTATTGGGAAAGGAAAGGATGAGTCTTTCCAAAGTTTCCTTGTAATGGAGAGATTTTTCTCTCTGGATTCTAGAGAAGGGAATCAAAGGCCCAGGCAGCAATATTCTCTACCCTTCACTGGCTCCCTAGCTTTCTAGCTGTATGTCCTACCATATCTTGTTGGCCTAAAGTTACCCCAGGACTGCTTGGGGAGGAGCCCCATGGGAGCTGTGTGCTGCAGCTTTTTCTCTTTGTAGCATGGCCATCTCACTGCTTGAGGTGCCTGCACTGATCACTGGAGAAGATGCATAATTTTCTTGTTCACAGACTTTATCTTTAGTTCTCGTTCCCTAGAAGGAAAGCAACGACACTTAGGAAATTTAGTCACCAGTTTTGATGGCATTCATCTATTCAGAAGCTTCAACTAATCCTCAATATCCATTTATGAATCAAAAGGAATGAAAATGGCAGCAGCCATGCAGATATGTGTGTCCCAAGAGTAGCTGGCAGCAAAAGTGTACTTTTGCCTCACATCAGATAGCAGACAGAAAGACTAATGAAGACAAGGCTTTTATGGATGTCTGGAAGCCCCCATATAGTGAGCACTTTACCAAGCAGAGAGAAGGTATGAAGCTTTTTCCCTTTCTTCATCAAACCAAAAATCATTTCTTAGTCTTCTTTTCTCTTGGAGAGTACCACTTATCTGTGAAGAATTCTCTCTCTTGGAAAAGCTGTTTATTTGTTCTGAAACTCCTTTTGTTTTGGCTAGGGAAACTGAGAAGCAGGGACAGGAAAAAAAGGAAATCCTCCCACAGTTAGCCCTCCTGCCCCATAAGCATATTGACATGAGATTCTGCCATCCAAGAGTATTTCTTACATGGAAATGTCTGAGGCATGTTAGTAAAAAGAGTGCTGAATGCTTTTCTTTTCTTTCCTTGAATTTTCTGATGTCTAGGAGAGGCTCAGGAAAAATAAAGCAAACTTCACTTTGTTTGTCTTCAACCTTGAACTGGTTAAACTGAATCCAAGTGAGACTTGAATTTTAGGCAAATAAATGCAAACTCCTATGCATTGTTTATATGAAATCAGGTTACATTAACTTAATGCAGCACACAAATAGATTTATATTTATGGAATATAATTGGGTTTAAAATTGATTTCAAATCCAGTTACATGCTTTAATATAAACCAGACGTGAAATCACTATGACCCAGACAGGCTTATTTGTTTTATGTAACTAAAACAAAGTCCTTCATGGAAAAATTAATTTTCATCTGGACTCTTAATTGTGGGTAGGAGCAGTTTTCATTGGCACAGATGAGGAGGTGATTACCTCCCTTCTCTTCTAGCTGGCTGCCCAGCCTGTACTGCTTGGATAGCCAACCCATATCTATTGCAGCCCCTGAAATACCCTTTTATAGCCACTACCTTGAGGAAAGGTGGTGTTACAGCGTGTTGCAGATCAGAAGCTGTTTTCTGAGTAGCTTGCCCATCCCTTCAGGCAGACCAAGCCCCCTCACTGCCACCAAGTGTTATTCATAATTCAGGGCTTTCAGGCTGATTCTTAAGCGCCCTTAATTAAATAGAGAGACCAATATTAAATGGTGTAAGAGTACCCGTGCAGGGATCTACAGTGATTAGGATAATGCCACACTTGAGCTAAGCCATTTAACTTTCCATTGCCAGTGTCTCACATCCCTGGTCCCACCGGGCCTGATTCCCCTTTCCTTGTGTGTCCCACCAAGGTTCATGGACCCATGGCTGTGGTTTGGCAACCACAAGCACTGGTGTGAAGTTGGCACAAAAGCTTAACAGATCAGTTTGAGGTAAGAGTGATGCCAGGTGACGGCAGACAAGCCAAGTAGAACTTGACATAGTGTGAGACATGGAGTGGGAGTAAACTTGCCCTCACCCCTTTTTCTACAGTCTCAGTTAAGGCCATTTCCACCCACCTAAAAACAAATTGTGTACATGTAGCTATCTTTAAGACCTTCATATACTAAATGAGACGCTTATGATGGTAAAAATAACTCTATATAATCCGAACTGTATATATAATCAACTTTTATTAGCATATTGAGGCTTCCTGCTAGTCTCTTTTTTTAATTCTTTTTTGCAGTTCTCATTTTTTTCTTCTTTGGTTGCTTTTAGACTTTCTGTGGAAGCACTCATCAACACAGCTGAAAATCCTAGGGGGAAAGAAAAAAAAATAATAGAATGCTTTCCTGGTTTTTTAATTAATGTAAAGGCAGACACAGTGAACCCGAGATTCAATTAGGTAACAGGAGTAGTTCTAAAAACATCCTCTTGTGGAGATCCTGGCAGTAGTTCCATGCCAGTGCAAGTATTCTGGAAAAGACATTAAGCAGCTGTGAGAGGGGCTGCTTTCTGAGGCACCCATGGTTCTGTGTGCCTCCCTCCAAAACAGCCTGTGATTTCTGGCAGGAGGTGTGGAATCTGAGAGCCTGTGCTGGGCTCTGTAAACCCTCTTACTAGTCTATACATTACCACTGAAAACCCATTCTGAAAAACGACTGGTCAGTGCTGGTTTCCTGTGGATCTTTTCCACCTTTCTGCTTTGCTGGGCTTTCATGTGGATGTGGTGGGTTCTTCTCCTGCAATGTCCTGAGCACCCTGAGCCTAGCAAAGAGTGTAAGTGCTTTTTTGGACTCGAGCCAGGGTTCTTAGCATAGTACAGGATCCCACCCTCACAGAGAGGATCATGTTGATGGTTTTCAATCACAGCAGGTACCTAATCTAGCATTCTCATCTAGTGGTGGGGTGGGCAGAAAAGGGGAACTGTAACTCGATACCGTATTGAATCGTAATCTGATCCCAGGGCAAACAGACACAGCAGGGGAAAAGATTGTACCTGGGTGGGAGTAGGGTCTGGTAGATGGAAAGCCTCCCTCATTCTGCAGCTCTGCCGATTCATATGGCTCATTTGATAGGAAGAGACTGGTCCTTCTCTCCTGTAAACTGCCTGCTTTCTCCACTTTGTTAAAATGAAGGATTAATCCAAGTCATACAATTTCTTGCGGGGCAACAGAGTGCAAACTTCTTCTTCTTTACCACTATGGCCCTCAGAGCTATTTTCAGGGAGAGAAAGGCTCCTTTTACATTGCAACAAAGGTTCTTTTTTGAGACCTGGGATACTGAACAGAAGTGGTCGGTATGTTTTGACAGAATTTACAGGACTGTCATACAGTTAAGACCCAGGTGCAAAGGGAAAAGTCTGTTCTGTAGAGGTGAGAGATCTGGAAATGGAAACAGAGCAGTTGTTCTGTCCTGTGGGCAACCATCATCTACTCTGCAAAAATGAGCAAGTCCCTTCACCAACCCATTGTTGCTCTGGGGACATGCAGATCTTATTTACTCCACTGAGTTAAATTATGCCAATTTGTTCTGTTCCTCTACATGGGTATCAACTTGTAGTGCAGCACAGGTAAGTGTCTCATTGATCAGATCCCGTGGACTACAGCTGTTAAGAGCTATAGGGTTTAACACAAATTAACTCTATTTTGTGTGTTATATACAGCACTACATAAATATTTTACCTGTCATAGCTGCTGGGGAAGTCCCTTGGGGTTCTGGAATAAGTGGTACGGTGAAAGTCTGAGGCTTGACTAGAGCATTATTTCTAACTGCAGCAATTAGCCTTGCCAATATTGTCCAGCACGTGGGATGGTGCAAACAACATTACAAGATACATGAGCCTATTTCAGATTGCTTTTCACGATCCTCTGAGCACATGGAGAATGATGGCATGTGTGTATGTTGCTTTTTTTGTGTGTATCTGGACAGGAAAGCACAGCAGAATCGACGAGGATTTTCAGAAGAGCAGCTTCGTCAGGGACAGAACGTAATAGGCCTTCAGATGGGCAGCAACAAAGGAGCATCACAGTCGGGTATGACAGGCTATGGAATGCCAAGGCAGATTATCTGAAAACATCTCTGTCTGTGGAGAAAACACTCTTTCTGCAGCATGGTCTGTTAAGAAAAAAAAAAAACAAAACCACACAAAACAAAACAAAAACAAAAAAAACCAACAAAAAAATCTCATTAGTTCCCTTTCTGCCTGTTTTTTAATAGTTAGTGCTCTCTGAGATTTGGGGTATTTTTGGTTTGGTTTGTTTTCTTTGCAGCTGCAAGAGTTCATCTATGAACTTGGGTTTTTGTGGTGGTGTGTATCAGTTCACAGCACGTGCGCACTGCTGCCTCCTACTTTTCACTTCTGAACTATGCAAAGACAATTATTCTGTATTAATTTATTTGCAAAGTGTTATCTTCCATATTTGTCTCACACTGCACTTGTATTTCAACCAGTAACCTCGTTCTTCAATTCAGTGATGATATTGTTTGACGTAAGAATAAAGACAAATTAAAGACACCTCTTAGACTCATTATTTAGAGGTAAAAGCAAGTAAAACCAATGGCCACCTGGTACAGTGCAGAGAATTTAAGTATTTTCAATGATCAGTCTATCCCATCTCTAACCCACAGCCCTGTTTGAGTGACTCCTTGCTGTAGTGTTTTACAGTCTTGTTACAGGTTCAATTTCGTGTTTCTCTAAAGGCACATCCAATGAACTTTCCTAAAATGAAGAAAAGATTTGTTATCCATTGAGTCTGATTCATGTAGTCCCACTCAATTTAACTAGCGTGCTGGGTCAACTGCAGCTCACAAACTTGTGGATCAAGCTAAAATCCGTTTAATAGGGAAAGGAAAAGCTGCATGTGAAAACAAAGAAAAATAAGGAATTAATTCACTATTTCCCATTGGCAGACAGATGTTTAGCCACTTCTGGAAAGCATGGCCTCAGTATGCATGATGGTTACTTGTTACTACAGTTGTCCCCTTCCTCCTCCTTTTCCCTGGGCTTTTGTTGCTGACCCTGACACAGTATGTATGAAATAAAATTCTAGAATTCATAGAATTCTATGATTCTATGAATATCCCTTTGGCCAGTTGGGGTCAGCTGTCCCAGCTGTGTCCCCCCCCCAGCTTCTTGCCCAACTCAAGCTGTGGGGGCAGAATTAAAAAGAGAGAAGACCTTGGCACTGTTCAGGCAATGTTTAGCAGCAGCTACCACACTGTGTGTTATTACCTTCTTTAGTCACCAGTCCAAAGCACAGCACTCTACAGGCTCCATCCCAGCCAGCTTCAGCACAGCTGGCAGCAGGTGAGTCTTGAAACTTGGGGAATTCTTCGCTGTGAAAGAACAGTCTGTCAGACAGAGGTGAGAATAGGCTTCATCTTCTCATAGTTGATACTATATCAAACAAAACACAAAACAAGGTGTGCCTTAAATGCGATGGAAGAAATAGAACAAAAGTACCAGAACAATTCTGACCTAAAAAATGCCCAGAGTTCAAACTCAAATAATCTATAAATGTGGCCAGTGGTTCGTTCGGGGGCAGTTTGCTGGAGTGTCAATAGAACTCGCAGCCAGAGTCATCTGACCTCAGGAGCAGGAGCTAACTCTGCATACTTGATTTGCTGGTCAGCACAGGTTGCCTCGGGGCTGTGTGGCACATACACTTGAGGGGTTCATGGAATTTTCTCTGCAGGGTTTTCTTGCTCTTAACTATTTCTGCTGCCTTCACTCACAAAACCAAATCACTTTTTCCCCACAAGCAAGTGGGCAAGTCAGGAGGGAAACGTGATAATAGAACTCTTTTTTTTTTCTTCTTCCTTTTTTTTTTTTCCCTTCTTAATTCATGACAGGCTTCCAAGAAGGCCTGAAAATGTAATATCTAGTCAGGTAACAAATGAAGAGTTATTTCTTCTGACAGCTCTCTGAGTGCCTACATACATAGGTAGGGGTGACTTCTGCCTGGCTTTAAATCCAATGACACGTGGTGGCAGCTAGTTGTTTACTAACTAGCCCTGGGGCCAGTGACACACATGTTGGTGTAGCTTCCAAAGTTTCTGCCAGTGAGTAAACTGAACCCCAGCTCGTATGAAGCTCTATCATCCCTGTCAGGAGGAAGGACTAACATCTCCCCACTTCAGCCAGGTGCTGCAGAGCAGAGCAAGCAAGAAGGGATGTGAAGGTCACGTTACATGGTTGGAGCTTAGAGGATCTCTAGTAGCTGCCACTGAAAAAGTCCTGTCCACACTAGTACCTCCTCTTATACTTGCCAGAGCATCTTAGCTCCTCCACTGTGCTACAGTCAAATACATTTTTTGGTGTTTACTACCTGCTCGGTAATATTTTTCTGTTACTTAGGTGTATTAGCAGAGGAACAGATGACTGCCCCAGACAGTCCATCTCAGGTAGGAGCTCACCTTTCAGTTGTGGTGGGGCATTAGCTCAGTGCAAAGGGCAGTAAGTGACTTCCCCACAGACATGACATCAGATGTAACGTGAAGAGAATAGCAGTTTTTCCTACTAAAGGCAAATAAGATGACTGAGGAAGTCTGGACTGATGGCAAGACAAATGTCTGCCACTAGAAATTTCACCTTGATGAATGTGAACAGCAGCCACCTTCCTCTAACACAAAGTCACAGCCACAGCAGGCAAAATAACTCGATGGGAAGAGCTGGAAGAACTGTCTTGAAGGTAGGTAAGAGGTCTAAGAGGTCACAACCCCACACCTGCCCCACACCACCCCTACAGGGGACACAGGATCTATCCTGAACTCAGTGACCTGGGTCTTCCCTCTCTGGCTGCAGAATTTCCATTCTGTATGTTCTTCTCTCCAAAACCACCACTTTTAAGTGCTGCTTGCCAGTTGAGTTCCTGGGGTATGTTGCTTTCTGTATCCCTGATGCCATGCTGTGGCACCACCTGCTCCCCTGTCAGATTTTCTCCTGACCTTGCAGGAAGTGGAGGGGACCCAGGCAAATTCAGGTCCAAGTCATTAGCAAGGCTGACTCAGAAGAGCAGATGGATCTACTGGTCAGAGCAGCAGTTTGTCTAGCCCAGCACTCTGCCTCTGGCAGTGACAAAAAAAGAGGCTACAATCCATCAAACTGTTCTAGCTGTTATATCTGGCTTTCAATGCTGCAAAGTATACTTTATTCTGTGGGCTAACCTTGTCCTTCCATATCCCCATATGATAGATATAGAAATATTAATATTAATGCTGTTGTTAATTAAATGCTAATGCACTCTGGCCTAGAAATCTATTAAGATATCCTTATTAGTAAGTTTACAAACATCTGAAGGTAAGAAGTCAATTGATGTAATACCCTGCTAGTTGTAACCAAGTTAGCAGGAAGCATTATCGCTTCTCTTATATTAACAAAAAACCATTGTAAGTTTGCTTCTACTGCATCAAAAGCACTTACACAGGTCTCCCAAAAGGCTAATTAATTTCTGTAAGAACCTTCTGCATTGTTAGTACTTAAAAGCCTTGATGTACATTAGAATAAAGAAATGCAAGAGCTTTGAACACTGCGGGCTATAGTACATTTTTGGAAGAAGGGGGTTCGTGTTTACTCCCCTAGCTCTACTGCTTAGGGGAGGGTTTCCTCTGCAGATGATGAATAGCATCTCACTGAAGGCTGTGGACTCAGTTTGACAGCAAGGATGAGCTAAGACCCCTCACACACACACTGCCTATAATCCTATTTGGAGCTTGACTATAACAAAATCAGCTATCCCAATAGAATGTACTAGACTAGACTAGACTAGACTAGACTAGACTAGAATATTTTTGTGAGAAAATGCTTTAAATATCCTCCCCCTTCAATAGCTGTGCCACAGAGAGACCCATCATAGCAGGCTGGACCAGATCCACCTTAAATGTTGCTGCCCTTGAGCTTCAGTTTGCCATACCTGTACACAAGTAAATGACATTTATCTGCCTAAATAAAGGTTCTGAGACCATGACCTCATTATGGATAATTGCTTAGTAACTTCTTTTTACTGTTAAGGTGGCATCTAATGGTCTTCCAAAAGGATGCTCAACACGTGTGAGGGAGGAAGAACCAAATACATGAGTGTGGGATCCAAGTTTATCCTCATATATAAGGAGAGGAGAAAGAAAATGGCAATGAACAAACAGTCAGTATTAAGTCCAGCCAGTTCAATTAAGCAGGAGCTTGAGGACTGTCAGGCTGACATAACATGGTGTGTTTTAAATGAAAACTAATGAGGGTGAACGGCATGAAGAGGCTTTCTCCTCAGTAAATTAGCCTGCAGCATCCCTTTCTAAGATGCCTCTGCTAAGCAGCACCCCCCACACTCAGCAGGGATGAGAAGAGAAGGAAGGTGCTGCTGGCAGCAGACACCAACAGCCCTGTCCCTTTCAGCTGGGAGCTGCCTGTGTGGACTGTTCACACACTGACCACAATGTATTCAGACCAAGCTGTCTTGTAGGCCAAAACAGAGCCACCAAGGAGCAAGGTTAAGGACTCAGGACATCTGAGTTTCCTTTTTATGTCTGTAATTGACTGCCTTTGGCTCTGCCTGCATTGTTTGGATTTGCTACCTCCATTCCTCTAACGGGAGGGCTAATACTAATAGTGATGATTTGAACAGCTCAGACATTAGCAGCATTATATATGGTAATGTCTCCTAACTTGAAATAAGCTTTAAATATGTTGAGAAGGAAAGTGAGCACCTTTGGAAGAAAGAAGTTCAGCCATTTACTCTGAGCTTGTTTGGTGACTGCCATGGTAGGTCCTGAGCCAGGGAGTGAGGAGTTACCAAGGCTACAGATAATCCTGTGTACACAGACCTTCCTCCAGCTATTTTGTGTATTCTATAAACTTAAAAAGAAGCATAGAAGCTGATATTTTTAATGCACACATAGGCTACCAAGGCAAAACAATCTGCAACACCCTAAATTTAAGACTGGCACCAGACAGGCAGAGGAACAGACAATTTTGTCAGCATGAGTTTTACATACAGTATGCTTTTGACTGGAAACAAACTCTTTTCTCCTTTGTGGGGCTTGCTGTCCTGCAGAAATGGCAAGTGGCCGGGGCAAGAAGACAACACAAGTGACTGCTAGGAAAACATGCAGAGGCAGCCAGTACTCCCCATCCTAAAAAATCAATGTACTTATTTAAACTTCGCTGAGGTTGTTCTTCCCACATGAATTTCCAAAATAAAACCACCATAGGTCTGTGACTAAGCTCAAGCAGTAGAAAACCATGAGATAAAATGGCAGAGGGGGTGAGAAAAAAGGTATATTAACTATTACCGTAGGGAGAAAATCACAGCCTTGGATGGGAGGAAATTTTTCTGCTCTCATCTTGCAGTGTTTACACAACAGCAGAGTGCATTATGCTGTGACATTCAAGTGAAGTTCTGATGCCATTCCTCAGATGTAGAAATAGATTTGCCAGTAGTTCTATAGGATTTATGGGGGAAATTAGAGAGGTGACCTTTCTCCCTAATGAAATTTCTGTTAAATGGTTCAGTTTGGTAGAAA